CTGGGCTAGAGCTATTGCCTTGGCCAACCTTATGTAATTTCTCCCTGCTGCCCAGCACCTCCAGGGTCAAGTCTTGGGGACCCAAAGAAGACATAAATGCTGCCTTTTCAGAGCTCCTTTGCAAGGTCCAGAGCAAAATGGCCTGAGGCAGGAATGCTAGGAGGGATCACAGTTGCTTCTCTGAATCCCTTCTCCTATTCCCTTTCTCTAAGGCAATTCCAAAGATGCAAAGCAGGAAGGTGTCATTTTGTTCATTATTAGACTCTGGAGGCAGGAACCTTCAAAACAGCAGTATCTAGTGCCAGAATGGGGCAAGCACTTTACAAATATCGTTTCCCCCCATCATTGCAAACCAGCAAGGTAGGACTGTTATCATTTCGTAGTTGAGGAAACTGAGTCCTGGGTTAGTTGCGCCAGCAGGTGCCAGGTTGGGATTTTCTCTCATCAGAAGCCTATGCAGCACCTCGGGCAGAGTAGGCTTTCTACCTCTAACTCCCCGAAAGCAGGTGAGCCACCTAGAGGGGGCGATGTCAATCTCTCAAGACAGAGACGCTGGGAGGGCTAAAACCCTTCCTTCTTGACACTCCCATTCATGGGCTTGAGGGGCCATACTGGTTTTCGGGGATTCAGTTCTGGCGTCCTTTCTGAAGAGGGCAGCAAGTGCCCAGGTGATCCCCTCACCTGCGCTCGGGAGCTAGATGTCTCCGGAGAGGTGGGCCAGGAGAGGGCCACAGAAGCCCCCAGGCTGAGCGAATGCGGAACGAGGGGAGTGACCGTGGGCTGGAGTCACTCGATTTTTCAAGGACAGCCTTCCTCCGGGGCCAGCCGAGTGGGGGTGGAGTGGGAGTGCGCGGGGCGGGCCCGCAGTGGCCCTGGGGCGGCGGCGCCGGCCGGAGGGGGTGGGGAGGAGTAGCCGCCCTGTACTTCCCCTTCGCAGCTTAGCTCTACAACAGCCTGATTTCCCCGAAATGATGAGGCAGCGCCGGCCAATGGGCGCCCGCGCGGCGCCAAGGAGGCGGAGCCCAGCCTGGGTTGGGGGAATCCCGCTAAGTGTTTAGATTTCTCCGCGGCGCCGCGGCCTCGGCAGAGCGCGCCACTCCTTCGTCGAGGCAGGACGTGTGCCCTAGCCAGCAGAGCCGAGGCCAGCAGGATCAGTGCCCAGCCAAGGCCAGCCGTGCCCAGTGGACCCAAGACCCGGGCATCCTCTGCCTTATCTCCGCTTCGCGGTCCGCACAGCAGTCCCCGCCTCGTTGGGAACCTCGGGCGCCGCCAGCGGATCGCTCTTGCTGCAGAGGTGAGCCCGCCTTCGCGGCTGGGGGACCTGCGGCGTCGAACAAAAGGCGCGCGGGACACCAGGAAGTGGGGGCCAAAAACCCCAGCCCGGAGAGTCGCAGGCGCGCGGCGTTGCCCGGGCCCCGGCGCGGGCTCGGGAGGGCGCTGGAGGAGCTGCGAGCGGCAGCGCGGGGAGGGCGGGCCGCGGCGTGGACCGCCCACTGGCCGAGGTTGCCTGCGCTCGGTCGCTTTCGCAGATCTGCGTGCGCGGAGCTGCCAGGGGCCTCTAGGTGGCCCGGTACGTTGGTCGCGCGCATCCACACGCCATGTCAGGGAACTCGAGTGTCTGCCCGCGCGTAGGAGCCCGGTGTTCCTGGGCTCTGGCTTTTGCCTGTCACAGGTTGGCGCCCTTGCCCCAGGTTTCGGGCTGCCTGTGCTGGTGGCAGGGACTGGCTTGCTGCCCTTAGTGACTGGAGGAGGTCAGGACTTATATGGGGTTCATGGACCAGGGGGGTGGCAGGAGCCGGCGCCACAGGTGTTCCTCGAGCCACTTCTCTTGAGGAGGGGAACCAAGCCCAAAGGAATTGCGCGTCCTGGCGTCAGCCTTGTGGGCAGGGTGGCTGTCAGGTATAGAATGGGTTGGGGGGGGGCGGGGTGAGAAGGTGTCCAGGATCCTTGGGGACTGAATACCCATTAGGGAAAGTGCACAGCTTATGGCGACAACTCAAATCAGGGAAATTTCTTCTTGGCATAGGGGTGTGGGGGGGAACCCTCCCTTTTTAACGAATTTGGGTTTTGAGAGAAAAGTTTTGGTTTTAAGATATCTGTGTATTTGGTCTCTTTTCCTGCACTTAAGCCCTGAAGCCCTCACTTGTATGTCCACCTCCTTCTGAGAGGGCTGGGACAGGATGAAAGAAGGACCAGATGTTTTTGCCCAAGATGTTGAAACAATTTGGAGAGCAGTTTTATTCCAGTGCAGGCTTCCTTTCCCATGTTTGTTAAGTCATGTTATCTGAGGGCAGGAGAGGGTAAAGATCTGGGTGTGAAAATAGGGGAGATTAAGTGAACTCTGGTGGGACAAGGTAGTGACCAGGGATTGTTCAATAGACTCCAAAACAGGAGCCTTCTGTCTTCTCTTTACAGCCAACATGCCCATCACTCGGATGCGCATGAGACCGTGGCTAGAGATGCAGATTAATTCCAACCAAATTCCGGGGCTGATCTGGATTAATAAAGTGAGTGTAACTTTTTGGGTTTTTCTGCTACTGTTGTTACCCATGTTCTTTAGGGGACCAAAGCTTCAGATGCAGCTCAAAAAAGGGAAATGATAAGGAGGCAGGCAGATGTGTTTCCCAGTGGGTTCTGCAGTGGGTGTGCAAGGCCCAGGCCTGGGCCCTCTTTGCCCAAGTCCTGTCTTCTTCCCTTCTCAAGGTGTGGACAGTAACCCTCTTAAAGGCACCTGAAGTTTCCAGCAGCCAAACTCTCCCAGCATTTGCAGAGCTTGAGTTCTTATCTTCTCCCAGGGATACCCCTACCACACACACACACAGCATTCTGCAGGGCTCTGGCTGGGCAGATGATAGGAAACAGAGAGGTGGGTACTGCTGGGTAGGAAGGTGGTTGTCTCAGCAGAGAACCCAAGAACTAACCTTTTTCAGTTACTCTGACCTAAGAAGACTAACTGCTACACTTGGGGCAAGATAGACTCCGTAGACTTAGTATCAATAATAGTAGTAATAGCAATATTAGTATGCATAATAGTAATGGCCAGCAGTTACTATGTACCTTGCACCTTGCTAAGTATGTTACTTAACTTGTACCGTTTCATTCTCACAGTAGTACTGTGAGGAATGGTCCAAATAAGGACACTGAGGTGCTGAGAAGTTGATAATAAGATCACACAAAAACTGATAAAACCAAGCTTTGAACCTGAACAGTTTGATTCAGAAATCCATAGAGCTAGCCACCAGTAATAATGACAATAAGACCTTAATCTTCATTTGTCAGTGTCCCCACACATGCTCTGGTTTTTACCCTCAGGTATATTTTCTTGTTTCAGAGAGAGGAAACTGTGGTGCCACAGGTAGTCACATTCAGGTCTGGCCCAGTACTCCCTGAAGGGTGTGATCAGGACCCCCTGTGTAGGAGCCAGTTGTCCCAGGTGTCCTCAGCAGACCCATTTAATAGAAGAGTTTCCATTTTTACTTCTGTTTTGGTGCTAACCAGCCAGAGCATTCAGATCAGTGCTCGGGGGAGAGGACTCTGTGGGTCCCAGCATATCTATAATGTGTATAGCGGTGTTTTTGCTGAGCTATTGGTACCACAGTCCATCAGAACCCCTCCTAAGAGATCCAGAGTGGCCTGTTGAAGCCAGTCTCAGGACTGGTCAACCCAAACCAGATGGGGTGAAAAGGGGAAGTCAGCTTTTTCCCAGACCTGGGGGGCTGGGCATACTCAGCCACAAAGTCTGTGGTCTCTGAGCTGACACAGCCTCTGTGTATTTGTGTGTGTGTTGTTCAGGAGGAGATGATCTTCCAGATCCCATGGAAGCATGCTGCAAAACATGGCTGGGACATCAACAAGGATGCCTGTTTATTCCGGAGCTGGGCCATCCACACAGGTGTGTCCCTGGGACTGTGTCCCTGAGAGCTAGGGAAGAAACAAGGGAGGCTCTAATATTCATGCAAAGGCTCTTGATGTCCCTGATCTCCCTGATATAGTGTACAGAATTATTGTGGGGGGGGCAAGGGGCAGACCCATATTTCTGAAGGATAAAATTTGATGTTTCAGCAAATTCTTAAAGGGATTTATAAAGCCAAAATCTTAGAAAGCAAAATAGTATTAATACTACTTGAGGGAGTTTGTGGCTAAAGTTCTCCCTGGAAAAAGAAGTCGCGAGCCAGGGCACTAAAAGAGATCCATATCTTCCTTTTTTCGAGGGGAAAAAAAGGTCTTTGGCTCAAGGACCACCTGGTTGATGATTGGTCTCTTTTTATCTTTAAGTGATGGGGCTCTTGGCCCAGCTTGGAATAGTCAGTCTACCTATTAGTAACTGTTCTTTGCTGGCCTCTCTGTGCTCACTCCTAGTTTGGAAGTATCAGATAAGCCCCAGTCCCTACCCTCTCTCTGGCTGCTGATAGCACAAGCAGGGAGACTGGGCATGGTCCAGGACACAGCACATTTTTGGGGGGAGGGGCACTCTAATGCATCTGTCTGGGCCCTTCACTGAGGCTTGGTGGATGTTTGAGCCAAGCTTGGATCTTTGAGAAGCCCCAGAGTCTAGAGCCTGCAGAGGGTCACTAAGGTTTCACCAGTGTGGGCATCTGGAGTACTTTTGCCTTCCTCCTCTCAGGCAAGGGGCAGCTGATGATCCATTTCACCCTCTTGCTCTCTAGGCCGATACAAAGCTGGGGAAAAGGAACCAGATCCTAAGACATGGAAGGCAAACTTCCGCTGTGCCATGAACTCCTTGCCAGACATCGAGGAGGTGAAGGACCAGAGCAGGAACAAGGGCAGCTCAGCCGTGCGGGTATACCGGATGCTTCCACCCCTGACCAAGAACCAGAGAAAAGGTAGCCAAGAGCTCTGGGTCTTTGGGGAGCCCTTGGGAGAAAGGGAGTAAGAAGGCCAGCTGGGCTGGCATTCCTATGCCGAGGTTGACAGCCTGTCTGTCCCACAGAGAGGAAGTCCAAGTCCAGCCGAGACACTAAGAGCAAGGCCAAAAGAAAGGTGAGTATGGTCCTCAGCAGCTGGGCCTTTTGTCACTGTGGGTCAGGGTGAGCAGTGGAGAGTGCTACAGTGGGCCTAAGCTGCTTTCTTCTTCCACAGTCATGTGGGGACTCCAGCCCTGACACCTTCTCTGATGGACTCAGCAGCTCTACTCTGCCTGATGACCACAGCAGCTATACAGCTCAGGGATATGTGGGACAGGACCTGGAGTTGGAGCAGGCACTTACTCCAGGTGAGGATGGCTTTTTATCTTGGGTCCAAGAGGCATTGTGCTGTCTTGGTAGCAGAGGGTGGCCTATTGGACCAGGCTGAAGGGTGCAGGGTGCCTGGTATCTTGCAAACTAACAAAGCACACATCCTTGACCTTTGGTTCCTGCTGATCCCCAGCACCATCACCGTGTGTTGTCAGTAGCACTCTTCCTGATTGGCACATCCCGGTGGAAATTGTGCCGGACAGCACCAGTGACCTCTACAACTTCCAGGTGTCACCCATGCCCTCCACCTCTGAAGGTTTGTATTGCCGAGTCCTGGTCTGTCTGCTTGACTGTTTGGGTCCTGAGAGGGGTTTTCTGAGGGAGAAAAGATGCTTAGAAAGCTACCAGCCATGGAGCTGATAGAGCTGGGCATTGTCTACTCCCAATTTCCATGGGCATGAAGCAAGCCCCTGGGATACCAGGAAGGCAGTTCAGAGTGGTCTATAGTACCGTGGTGGGCTGGGGAGAAGAGAGAAAGGAGCAGGGGCTGTGTCTTGATCTAAGGTTGCTAGTTCTCCTGGCTCCTCTGCAGCCCAATGCCTTGGAGTGAGGAAGGAAGTGAAGGGGTGGGAAGAGGCGTGACTTCATAGTTTAGGAGGCTGAGTCACCAAGCCAGTGTCTTGTTCTGGAATGTCCATGGCAGATGTCTGCTGGGAGGCCAGTGGTATGTGTGTGTGTAGGGGCAGGGGACTGGAACTGTAGGGCCAGTGTGATCTACTGCCATCCAGCATCTCTGCTCTTCCCCATCCACAGCTGCAACAGACGAGGATGAGGAAGGGAAATTACCTGAGGACATCATGAAGGTATAGCCCTTTCCTTCCTGGCTTTCTTTTGAAGTAGACATTTCTTGGTGAGGAGAGAGAGAATCATTGAGAGCTTCCAGATCAGAGGGTGGGCAGCTGCTGTTGTCCCCCGACTACTTGCATAGTCCCACAAGCAGCATATCCACTTGGTGGGGACCGTTGCCTTTCTTGGTTGGGAAAGACACTGGGTCGTGAAGGCTGGTGGGAAGCCGTGTCTCCAGTGAGCCTTCCAAAAGCAAACTTGAGGGCCCCAGACAGAGCTGTGAATCAGCCACTATCAGTGCCAGGTCCCTGGCCCGTGTCCTCAGCCCCAACATGCCCAGCCCTGCTAGTTTGGGAAATGCACATCAGGTTTCAATAATCAGTCTTTGGGATCTGAAATATGATGGCTTTAAAAAATTTTTTTAAGACAAATTATCCTTCAGTTTTTTTTTTTCTTTCTCTGCTTCAGTTTTAAAAATGAATACAAAACATTTTCAAGGTAGTTTTTCCCTGGCTCTGCCACATTAGCACAGAAAACTGAGATGTGGATCCAGTTCCTCTTCTCTAAGCTTTTTAGTTATCTTTTCTTATTATGCTAACTGTGCTTTAAGCCTCAATCCCAGTTGAGGGAAGTGGTGGAGATACTCTCGGAGAGGGCAGGAGTGGGAAGAGTGGGAAAATGACCCAAGGAGTAGGGCCTGTGTGCGTTGTGCCTCCCAGATCCAGGGCCTGGTTCTGACTGCTGCACATCAGCATCCATAAGAGAATGTGAAAATGCTCAAGGGTGTGGTCCTGGTTGGGAAGCCTTGGCTTATCAAGGGCAGGCCACAGGGTGAATCTTCATGGGAAGGCTGCTGAAAGCTTCTTGCTTTGTCTCTAGCTCTTGGAGCAGTCTGAGTGGCAGCCGACAAATGTAGATGGGAAGGGTTACCTTCTCAATGAACCTGGGGCCCAGCCCACCTCTATCTATGGAGACTTCACCTGCAAGGAGGAGCCGGAAGTTGACAGCCCTGGGGGTAAGAAATCCCTGGATCCTTATGGTTTCTTGGAGAAGGGAAACTCATGTAGTGAGTGGGGAAGGCTTGGGAGCAGGGCCAGGAGACAGTAAGGTAAGCAGCTATGTTCCTGTTCCCTGTGGTTTGCCTAAAGATAGTGTGTGCTTGCTGCTGCCTTGTGGACAGTGGAGGCTCTGTCTGTGACTTGGGGACAGGGCTGTGTGGATGTGGACTGGGGAACACACCTTATGTCCCCACCCCACTCCTTACATAACCTTCCTTCATCTTCTAGGAGATATTGGGCTCAGCCTACACCGTGTCTTCACAGATCTGAAGAATATGGATGCCCTCTGGCTGGACAATCTGCTGCCCCCAGTCAGGGTGCCCTCCATCCAAGCCATTCCTTGTGCACCGTAGCTGGGCCTCTCGGCCTCCTTTCTCCCTAGGCAAACAAAACTTGGCATCATGGTGGCTATGGTACATAGAAGCTGCACTCCTGTGGGCCCCTCGACATAGCAAAGTGTGACCCCACTGCAGGGATGGGACCTCTATCTTTGGGTCAGTGGACTCTCAGAGGACCTGGCAGGCCAGAGTCTGGGTTTGCCTTGTGCTGTAAAGCTGGCCCTGCCTCCTGAGAATTAGGGGTTGAGGTTCAGAGATTGGTGTGTCAGGTGGACTTGGACAGAAGTTGGCCTTCATATTTTCTCTGTGATCCCGGCTGCCTGGAGAGGGTCTCTCTGTCACTGAGTGGCCCTGCAGGGAACAGATCAGTGACCTCAGAAGAGAATAGCGCCAACTCCAGGGCTGGCTCTGCACTAAGAGACAATTGCACTAAGTGAATCTATTCCCAAAGAACCCCCTCCCTTCCCAGCTGAGCCCTGGGGACTGTTCCAAAGCCAGTGAAATGTGAAGGAAAATTGGGGTCCTGCAGGGTGGTGTCCCTCAGCCTCAGAGGAGTGCTGCCCTGCTTCATACTTCAGATGAGGGGCTTGGGAAAAGACATGGCACTTTTTCTTGTGGACCTTGCCACATTTCTTATTAGAAATGTACACTAATGTTTTCCCCAAGCTCTTGGCCTTCGCATTTATTTATACAGTGCCTTGCCCTGTGCCCACCACCCCCTCAGGCCCTGGAAGCTCTCAGCAGGTCCAGGCAGGGAAGTGTGAGCGTCTTGGTATGACTTAAAATTGGAAATGCCATCTAGCCATTAAGTCATGTGAGATCACATGTAGACATGTTTATAAATATGTATATATTTGTCTTTTTATAAAAAGTTAATTGTTTATGAGGGATGTGTCCTTTTATTTAGAAATTTGTAGTTAGTCTTGCTTTTTATGGAAACATTCTGATGGAACTCATCATTGGCACCGTGCCTGAGCCTGGGTTTGTTGAGCACTGACTTGTATCTATCATGCATCCTTTCAGTTATGGTCATGGAGGAGATGGCAGGCAGGAGGACAGTCATGTCACAGAGAATGCTCATATAAATGTAGTCACTTGCCCATGACTTTTCAGCCATAGCTGGGAGCTGATTCTAGGCTCCTGGGAACTGCGGAATGTCAGGTTTTTAGTTCTTCTAAGGTATATGCCATAGACTATGTGTCCTGCTGAACACCCAAGTTCTACTCCAAATGTCCAACAGTTATTATGGTACAATCACAGATGATCAGAACAGACAACCACCCAAAGAGTGTCCCCAAGGTGTGCTGTGATGGCCATCACTTCCTATCCAATTAATACAGTGATAGAAACACTCTTTCTATTCTGTAGGCACTTGCGTGAGCCACGTGTGCCAGTTGAGCAGTTTAAATGTGGCCAGTGACACATTCAGGAACAAGTTTAAATTTTATTTAGTTAAAATGTGCCTGCTAGTTCAAGGCTTAAATTATATGTGTGTGTGTGTGTATGCGCTGGGTATTGACCCAGGGCCTGGTGCACATGCTAGGTAAGCACTCTACCACTGAGACACATCCCCAGCCTTCAAGACTTATTTCAACAACCAACAATCACTCCATAGGTGCTGAACACCAGCCCTGCAGTGTAGTAGGAAATAGGTCCTTACACAAATGCATGAGGGAAACCTTGGCTGGCCTCACATGAAGCAGATTTTTAAAAATTCTATATCTTCCCAGAGTTCTGTCTGGGCTATTACACACAATCTTTATAAGGGGATATACTTGATCAGAGCAGTGGTTCTGAAAACTATTGTTAGGAAACCACTAATATATGATAATTCTCCCTTAAGGTCAGGCCCAAATTGTACAAAATGTCTGAGGGTGGATGGTATGGGTTTTAATCATCTCTCTCCCTTGTCTGTAGCCCTAGGGCATTAATAGCACCCAGCAGTGGGTAAGTTGAGTGCATCACCAGCATCACCTAGGGAACAGGGTCATGGCAGTGATAGCATTGCTTAGGGATATGGATACATGTAGATACATCTTCCACGCTCAGTCCCAGAAATCAATAACTGGGACCAAGGCTCTGGAAGGAGTGTCGGCCCTTGGTGGGAAGGGAAGGCTAAATCAGAAAATGATGAGTAAATGGGAAAAATGGACAAAGTCTGACACATTTTCTGATCTCAGAAGCTGTGAGTGGTAGGTGCTCCTACTGGGTGGGTGTACGTGGGAGCCTGGACAGGCCCCCATTGTAAGCCCTGCACATCAGAAAATCCACTTGGGGTTTTCAAGAGTATCTTCACCTGGGGGCAGAGTGATGGACAAGATAGCCTTTTCTAGCTCTTCTAGGACCCAGTCTTTACCAAGAAGAACTAGACTGGTCAACCTCCTGTGGTTTATCTGGGATTTTCTAGCTGGTAGCATTTAGTTAATGATGGTGGGGTTTGGGCTTGTGAAGTCAGATAAAGTAGACTGAAAAGTGATGGGAGGAAGGAAAGAGTAACCCAGAACAAACATCAGTGCCTACTTCTGCCTTGTTTACTCTGTCTTGATCCCTGATGGAGATTAGGCAGTGGGTATTATGAAGTCCCAGCAGCTGTTGACGTCTCTCAAGTACTATCAAGCAAAATTCATCAATTACACATTACCAAAATGATAGAATTATGCCCATCAGTACCCAACCTTCAGAAAGAAGATGGAGACCTGCTGTCCTCCAACTCATGGGACTAACACCTTGGGATGTCCAGAGAAGAGTTGCCAAACTCTGCAACCTCTCTCCCAAGATAGGGAGGTCCTGGGGCTGTGTGGGATACAACCAGACCACCATGGACCTTAGCCCTTGCCTGGAAGACAAATATGATACATAAGACCCAACTGCTCACCTGAAGGTGATGGCTGTTGGTGGTGAATCCTTAACAAAGTGTCTGGAATGTAGCAACATCATTATAATTTGAGCCAAATCTGGGCCTAAAAGTTTAAGATCATTCTAAGAACTTGCCGATGCTTCTGTGGGTCATTCCTAAGAGTTTTGGTCTAAGCACTCCTGGTAGAAGCTCTTGATTGAGGGAGCTAGGCAGTCTTTGAAAGGTGTTTCTTGGGGTTGTGATGACATCATGGTCATCAAGTACCACTTTCCAATGAGATAAGCTAGCACGTGGGGCTCAGCCACACCAGCTAAAACTCCCACAGTGGGCTAAGTTTACAGATGTTTATTCTGGGTCAGTAATAAGAGTTCTCTTGCCTTGCTCCAAAGGTGTCACTATAAATGGACTGGTTTGTTAATTCGACTCATTTGGCAATGGGAAGAAAGCTACAGGCAAATATGCAAACTATCCCTTCTTGGTGTATCAGCTTTCTCAGAGAACTGTGTACAGGATGTTGTGACCACCCTGACTTCAGGGATAAGATCTCTGGACATCTCCAGAGGTAGCCTGCCAAGGACAGAACTGAAATTCTGGGAAAAGCCCTGGGCTTGGTTGGAGGTGGAGTTCTTTTCTCCAGAATGATGCCTTCTGGTTGGTGGAACTGGGGCACACCCAGGCTGTCATTCTCTAGGACCACTGAGTACAGATCCCAAAAACCTCTCAGGGATGCCAGGGAGTGGAGCAGGGGTTATGGATTTTTTTTCAAGTCACTCTTTTGGAGCACACAAGAAAATGTTTTTTCTCTGTTAAATGTAATGCCATTTCTTGGGCAGGACTCACTCTCCACACCCAAGATGTGTCAAATTCATAGGAACTCAGCATTAACATTCTTCTCCTTCTGCCAACTGTCACAGAGGCAGGAGGCCTGGGAAGGAATGGGGAACCTGCACATGCCTTATCCGGGGGTAAAAGCACTTGGCCGGGAGGAACTTGGCTTTATCAGCCACAGCTCCCTTGTGGGACTAAGTCTAAAGACTAGATGAATGGCCAGGTAGTTTTTTTTTTAGATCCAGGCAGCTCCAGAGTCACCCATTTCTACTGCTCATATGAGGTCAGAGTTGCAAAAGAAAGAAGCCCCTACTTCTGTGAGTTCAGTGGTGAGACAGGTCTATGGAGTCTACACTGAGTTTAATTTCAACTGGGGAGATCCTGGAGTCAATGATGCAAAGACATGGAAACTGAATGAAAGGGGTGGGGCAGTCACCCAGCTTCCTATTCCTCACCCAAGGAGATGACTAAAAAAAGACCTCAAAATTTGGCTTTATAATAATGTAGAACTCTGGTGCCCATTTTGTGCCAGGCACTGTGCCACACTCCCATATGCACCATTGCACTGGCACCCCCACTCCTTGCCATACACACATCCCTGTTCACAGACCAGGAAACCAACACTCAATAAGCATAAGGGGCTTGCCCAGGATGACTCAGCTCATCAGTATGGAGGTTGGATTCCAACCCACATCTGTCTGTGCCCAGTACCTGGGGTGGTTCCACAATATCAGGCTGCCTGCAGAGAAGGAAACTGAGGCCTGGGGTGGAAGCTCGAAAAAGTAGTCCTCTATGCCAAGAAAATTACCTGGTGGACTGAGGATGTATCTCCATGGTAGAATGCTTGCCTAGCAATCACAAGGCCCTGGATTCCATCCCCAGCGTGGAAAAAAATAAAATGAAAAATAAAAGCATCTGGGGACCTTGATGGAAGATAGCAAAAGCTGGAGCTGCTTCAGGATAGCACCCCCCTCCCTCCCAACACTCCAGAAAACATGGCTCTGCTGTTCACAGGCTTCGGGGGCCCCAACAGGGTGGGGTTTGGATTGGCCCTCAAGAGAAGCAATGCCCCACCTATACCCAGGAGGCCACCTGCAGTTTCGAGGGGGTGGGGCCCTAGGGCGCTGTAACACAGATAGATTTGCAACTTGGCCTCTGTGCAGAGGGCAGCTGAGCCTCACAAGTCTGCTCCAGAGGACTCTGGCCTGCCAAGTCTCAGCTCCAGGGATCAAAGAGGCCTTTTCAGCCATGTTTCTGTCAGAGCAAGTCAACTTGTTCTTCTACTCTAAACCAGACCTCTGGCTTCTCTGAGCCAGCTGAATTCATGGAATGAGGGAGTTACGGGGACACAGAGTTGGTGTGTGGGATCTGGGTTCCATTGGGAGGGGAGTCATTAGTCCAGAACTGTGAGTACTTTTCTGAAGCTATGAGCCAGGCAAGAAGTCCTGTTGTGTTGGCCTCACCAGGACAATGGTGCACTGAGGTGGGGACTGCTGACACTGCCTGTGGGAGATGGAGGGTAGTTGCCTCTGCTGGGGACCCAGGGCTCCCCTCCAAGAGCTCCTGCTGGGCTTGTTGAGATGGGGAAGGGAACTAGAAGTCCAGAGGTTGGGACAGCCACAGCATGGGTTAGGGCCTGGCATTTCAATGTAGTATGGGGGCAGCGGGTAGGGAAGAGGGACTTGAAGGGGTGTCCAGCCGTCCCGGACCAGAACATCCTGGTGACTATTCACCACCACCCTTCTGCCATAAAGGGGCAGGCAGCCAGAATTCTGGGCCCAGGAGACGATCTGCCCCTAAGTGTGTGGAGGGGTCTTGCTTCAGGGCACTCGAGGATACCCCATTTTCAGCTTCTGGCTATTTTAAGACTTGTACAGTGTGGCCCTGGGGCCGTCCCTTATCTGACCTCTGGCAGTTCTCAGGCAGTCTCACCATCTGGTGCTGGGCTCTTCCACCTGTCTTTCACTTCTCACGTGGTCTTTAGGGTGCCCAATATCTCCAACCAGACTTGAGGGTCCCCAGGGGCAAATGGCTCCTCTCCTCCGCATTCTCCCACTTGAGAGCATCTCCTGCTGGCCTGTTCACCTTCTCGGCTCTGAGTCCTTCCTTAAGGGACAAGCCTGGCTGGAGCCCCAGGGTGCAGGGGAATAGGCTGAGAGACAAGGGGGTACAAAGGAGTAACTAGCCCTGTCCTTGCAGTA